GGCATGATGTAGGTAATGTCTCACTGACTGGCATGATGTAGGTAATGTCTCACTGACTGGCATGATGTAGGTAATGTCTCACTGACTGGCATGATGTAGGTAATGTCTCACTGACTGGCATGATGTAGGTAATGTCTCACTGACTGGCATGATGTAGGTAATGTCTCACTGACTGGCATGATGTAGGTAATGTCTCACTGACTGGCATGATGTAGGTAATGTCTCACTGACTGGCATGATGTAGGTAATGTCCCACTGACTGGCATGATGTAGGTAATGTCTCACTGACTGGCATGATGTAGGTAATGTCTCACTGACTGGCATGATGTAGGTAATGTCTCACTGACTGGCATGATGTAGGTAATGTCCCACTGACTGGTATGATGTAGGTAATGTCTCACTGACTGGCATGATGTAGGTAATGTCTCACTGACTGGCATGATGTAGGTAATGTCTCACTGACTGGCATGATGTAGGTAATGTCTCACTGACTGGCATGATGTAGGTAATGTCCCACTGACTGGCATGATGTAGGTAATGTCTCACTGACTGGCATGATGTAGGTAATGTCTCACTGACTGGCATGATATAGGTAATGTCTCACTGACTGGCATGATGTAGGTAATGTCTCACTGACTGGCATGATGTAGGTAATATGAAGACTAACAATAACAAACAGCAGCTCTCCTGTGACCCTGTAACATCTCCATAGCTCATGACAATTATGCATTAGCAAAAAGACCTACCATTAATGTATGGTGATTAACAGTATATACATAGCTACTGAAATGGAACAAGCTCTCTAACTACCTCACATTATAATATTAGGTGTGGCAATGAAATTGTTAATGTAATATTCTCCGTTGAGGTCTGATAAAGACCGTTTAACCCGGGAAACACAAACCGTAACTGTCTCTATTTTCCGCTTGTTACAACTTGTAATAAAGTTGTTACATCTTGGCTTAACGTGTTAATGACGTATCAGAACGTTGTTACAACTTGCTATATTGGTTGTGATAACTGGTTAGGTGTTAAAACTTGTTCGAACGTTATACCAACGTCGTAATTTCGGTGTGTGTTTGGCGGGATTGTGCCCTTTGTAATCCTTTTTTGGGCTCCCGCTAACAGGAGTTTGGGGTAGTTATCTTGAGTTATCTTGATGATTTCGGGGCTTTTTAGTGTCCCCGCGGCCCGGTCCTCGACCAGGCCTCCACCCCCAGGAAGCAGCCCGTGACAGCTGACTAACACCCAGGTACCTATTTTACTGCTAGGTAACAGGGGCATAGGGTGAAAGAAACCCTGCCCATTGTTTCTCGCCGGCGCCTGGGATCGAACCCAGGACCACAGGATCACAAGTCCAGCGTGCTGTCCGCTCGGCCGACCGGCTCCCGGTCACAATAAACTAGCCGCCTCCGCTGTAACAATCAAAATCCACGTAAAAAAACAATTATAAAAACAGCATGTTATAAAATAGTCAATGAGAAACATGACAAGGAGTGGAGAATACGCGAGCAGGAAGTGGAGGAGAGTGAGTAGCGTGACGGAGGGAGACGAGTGAGGCCCTCAAGGTGTCAGAGGAGGAAGTGTCGCAGGATCTGGAGCTCATTATGAGAGGCGCGAGGAAGCGATCGGCGAGCTTGAGCGTGCCAGCGTTTACGACCCGACCTCGCCTACCCGACCCCACACAAACACTCACACCTCAGTCTTAACTCACTTTTTCAGCTCGTAAACTTTATTCTCGGGAGAACCGTCGGCTTGGTGAATGATAGACACGCGCGCGCACATTTACGCTCACACTGTGGGGCCTGATGGCTGAGTGAACAGCGCTGGCCATTCGTAGTCATAAGGGTCCAGGTTTGATCCCGGCGGAGGAGGAAACAAATGAGCAGAGTTTCACCCTGAGCCTAGTAGTAAAGAGGTACCTGGGAGTTAGACAGCTGCTAAGGGCTGCTTACTGCAGGTGTGTGTGTGTGTGTGTGGGTGGGGGAGGGGGAATAATACTAAAAAATAAATAAATAAATCAGTTGATTGACAGTTGAGAGGCGGGCCTAAAGAGCCAGAGCTCAACTCCCCCCCCCCCCACAAGCACAACTAGGTGAGTCCCACTGCTACTGGTGGTACATGCTACACATGTGTAGCAGTACATGCTATACACAGCTAGGTGAGTACACTCTCGTCACAAGTTCATGAACACACGCTCAGTATACAATGTCAGCTGTGAATGTAATGTTTACTAACAGGAATGTAAACACGGAATCATTCAATATTCCGTATACTACACATCTTACACCAGTTGTGGAATAGGGAGCGCCGATACGAAATCCATATCTGGGATGTCTGGGATGGACGCCGGGATGTGTCGTGGACGACGGGATGTGTGTGTGGTCGTTTACAGTGCGTTTATTGGGCGTCTCGTGAGTTGACAGTTTACACTCAGCCCTCCTCGTAAACAGTGGCCAAATGCTCGTTAATTCAGCCGCCAAACCCCCTGTTTATGAATAAAAAATCGCTTTATACCAGCTCGTCCTGAGGCTGTGTTTAGTCCTTCCGGCGGCACACACCAAAGACACTCGTCAATATTAACGTGCTGTTCATTAATAATGTTAAATTTCTCAGACATGCAGTAATAATATTATATATTAGTATCTCGTGCATTTTTAGGCATAGGTCAGGTTAGGCGTTTAGGTTTTGTTGGCAATTATTTGTATTGGTAGTACGTGGGTTAAGCATTTACAGAGTTGTGGTAATTAACACCAATTATTACTTAACCTAATTACAATTATTACTTAACCTAATTACAATTATTACTTAACCTAATTACAATTATTACTTAACCTATACCGTTGATAGGTTAAGTAATAATTGTAAATATGAAGCAATAAGATGCTTATCTTAACATACTAAGAAGGTTAGGTGAGGTCGGTCTTTTCTATGACGCTTTTCAAGGTAAACTAAAATATTCACAATCAATTAGTATGTCACATATGCACTTATTTAATAAGCCAATATTGACTGTAAGCAAGTGAGAGAACGGGTTGGGTTCTAACAAAGGTCGTCAGCAAAACACTGTTGGAGAAATGTTTAAATGCCATCAACAGAGTCGTTTGTACAGCGTTTTCCATCCGTAAACAAGGGCTTTGGCGCCTGAATCAACGAGCATTTGGCCATTGTTGATTAGGACTGGTTGAAAGTGTCAATTGATTTTCAAGTCAGTTGTCAGTCAGTATACCGGAGAGTGGTTGCAGTATGCTGTAGTATAGCTGCCAGTATACTTGAGTATATTTGGAGCTGCCAGTATACTGGAGTGGCCCATGACAGTATTCCGGCCCCAACAAGCCATATTTTACATCTTTTTAAAACTGAAATGCCTCTATAACTATAGTATTTAATTTCTAATATGTTAATATTTCTAATATGTCTCCACTGAATTTGCCAAACTCGTAAGAAAATATCGACTATAGCGATAATGCCTTGAACGTTCTCAAAATATTAATATACTGTTTTGTCAAAATTATCAATGAATCTTTATAATTGTTATTTTTACACTCTGGTGTAAACCTACGGATGGAGTTTGCTTCTCAAATATTGTCATATATAATTTTGTTGTGCTGGGTTTACTGGGAGATATAGTATAGCATTTATAAAACAGAACTTTATAGCAAGTTTTGAAAAAGTTTGTATTTTTGACTAGGTGAATATATTATATTTTTCTCTACTCAGAATTCCTAAATAGCTATTAAATCCTTTAAAGCGTTTAATCCCATTATAATAGAAATACAATATTGGTTATATCTTCAACAAACACAACAAACTTGATATTCATCCGATATTGTATTTCTATTACAATGAGGTTAATAAGGTTAATAGACTTAATATCTATTAAAGAACTTCGAGTCAACAAAAATAACATGATTTGTGACATTAAATTTAACTTTCTCCAAAACGCAGCCAAAGAAGCAATCTGAGAATGGTTTAGTGCTTCAGAAAAACCATACTGGCTCTGCGCTTCTCTCTGCCTAATTACTTAAGTGGTCTTAAATGAAGAGGGGCACACATAACTTGTTAAGTTCCCCGGACGAGCCCTGGAGGACGCACAAGTTGATGCAGTTTTGCAGTGGCTAACTTAATTCTTGATTAGAAGTGAGGTAGAGGCTACTTTGGAGGCGGACTCAAGCTTGCAAATGTGGTAAAGGCTTCCTAGAAGGCGGACCCGAACTTACCCAGAAGGTGAAGACAACTTTGGAGGTGGATGCCTTCCCTGCGAATTACATCCACAATATATGGTTAAGGGTAACCTTGATCAGAGATTAGAGCAGGACGCAAGACATGGGGGTAAAGGAGACTTTTGTAGACCTTTGTAGACCTCGAGTAACTGAAAGAGAACCACTCCTGTAAAGGGGTCCCCAGACATGCGTAAGAATGCCAAACAGCTTCAGTTTCCTGTAGTTTACTCTACCCTATCTTGTCTCCACTATCCTGTCTTCCCAATCTTGTCTTCCATATCTCCTATTTTCCCCTCATCTTGTCTAAGTCTTGTCTACCTCTTATCTTGTCTTCCCCCTGTCTTGTCTTCTCCTAGCTTACCTTTCCTCTCTTGTTTTCCCTCTCTCGTCTTATCTACCTTCTATTTCGTCTTCTATCAGTCTTCCCCTAACTTGTCTTACCCCTGTCTGAAGAACGAAGCAAGCTAGAGAATGAAGTGAGCTAGAGAATGAAGTGAGCTAGAGAATGAAGTGAGCTAGAGAATGAAGCGAGCTAGAGAATGAAGCGAGCTAGAGAATGAAGCGAGCTAGAGAATGAAGCGAGCTAGAGAATGAAGCGAGCTAGAGAATGAAGCGAGCTAGAGAATGAAGCGAGCTAGAGAATGAAGCGAGCTAGAGAATGAAGCGAGCTAGAGAATGAAGCGAGCTAGAGAATGAAGCGAGCTAGAGAATGAAGTGAGTTAGAGAACGAAGCGAGCTAGAGAATGAAGCGAGCTAGAGAATGAAGCGACCTAGAGAATGAAGCGAGCTAGAGAACGAAGCGAGCTAGAGAATGAAGTGAGTTAGAGAACGAAGCGAACTAGAGAATGAAGCGAGCTAGAGAACGGATCAAGCTGGAGAAGGATGAGAAGGCAGGGGAAAAGACATCATATAAATTGCCCAGCCAAATTTCGTCACGAGCCAAGCAGTTATATAAATGTTACGGAGAAAACTATCGGGAAGCTTTTTGGTCCATGTAGTGGTGGGGGAGCTCATGCGTGCGCGCGAGTGCGTGCACACTTCTCTTAAGAAGCGTGTCGCCTTCTGGATACGTTAAAAAGGGTCGGCGACACGGTCATACAGAGAAGGAGACGAGCACGGGGGAGAGAAGGTGTAGGGGAGAAGAGAGATGGAAATTGCTTAGTGAGGGGTTACCTAGAGGTGCTTCCGGGGCTTAGCGTCCCCGCGGCCCGGTCGTCGACCACGCCTCCTGGTTGCTGGACTGATCAACCAGGCCGTTGGACGCGGCTGCTCGCAGCCTGACGTATAAGTCACATCCTGGTTGGTCAGGTATCCTCTGGAGGTGCTTATCCAGTTCTCTCCTGAACACTGTGAGGGGTCGGCCAGTTATGCCCCTTATGTGTAGTGGAAGCGTGTTGAACAGTCTCGGGCCTCTGATGTTGATAGTTCTCTCTTGAACACTGTGAGGGGTCGGCCAGTTATGCCCCTTATGTGTAGTGGAAGCGTGTTGAACAGTCTCGGTCCTCTGATGTTGATAGTTCTCTCTTGAACACTGTGAGGGGTCGGCCAGTTATGCCCCTTATGTGTAGTGGAAGCGTGTTGAACAGTCTCCGGCCTCTGATGTTGATAGTTCTCTCTTGAACACTGTGAGGGGTCGGCCAGTTATGTTCCTTATGTGTAGTGGAAGCGTGTTGAACAGTCTCGGTCCTCTGATGTTGATAGTTCTCTCTTGAACACTGTGAGGGGTCGGCCAGTTATGCCCCTTATGTGTAGTGGAAGCGTGTTGAACAGTCTCGGTCCTCTGATGTTGATAGTTCTCTCTTGAACACTGTGAGGGGTCGGCCAGTTATGCCCCTTATGTGTAGTGGAAGCGTGTTGAACAGTCTCGGTCCTCTGATGTTGATAGTTCTCTCTTGAACACTGTGAGGGGTCGGCCAGTTATGCCCCTTATGTGTAGTGGAAGCGTGTTGAACAGTCTCGGTCCTCTGATGTTGATAGAGTTCTCTCAGAGTACTCTATCTCTCTCTCTCTCTCTCTCTCTCTCTCTCTCTCTCTCTCTCTCTCTCTCTCTCTCTCTCTCTCTCTCTCTCTCTCTCTCTCTCCCCCCCCCCCGCCCCTCTCAGGGGGGGGGGGGGGCGTGGAGAGAAATGGTGCAGGGAAGAGAAGGATGGGGATTGGCAAATGAGTAAGGTGGGGAGGTATGAGAGTGGACAGTATGAGAGTGGGGGTTATGGAGGATGGAGAGTATAGAGCTGGGGAGAATGAGGGTGGAAAGTATAAGTGCAAAGAGTATAGGGATGGGGAAGTTTAGTAGTGAGAAGGGGGAGAAGTTAAATAATGGGGAAGTAGTGGCAGGGAAAGGTGGGGTTGTGAGGAAACAGTTTGACTTATGACCAAACACACTGAGGGCTCCATTAGGTGAAGGGTGGCCAAGAGAAATGGGTGCGCGAGCTGAGTGCCACACCTTGCCATGGAAGCCTTGGGGCGTCCATGGCAAGGTGTGTGGAGGATGGCAGATGGGGGTGAGGGGAAGGTGCTGGGTGACTGGGTGAGAGGAAGGGTGCTGGGTGAGGGGAAGGGTGCTGGGTGAGGGGAAGGGTGGTGGATGAGGGGGAAGGGTGATAGCTGTGTGTCTCCTGAGATAATCAAAACGTAGTGCTCTTGATACCTGTAACAGGACGACACGTCGTGGATGGAAACTCTTAACTCAGAACGGTCAGAGTAGTGACATGGGCCTCGCACGTGCTCAGTGTCGAAGTAGTGAGCTAGTGACCGAAGCCTAGCATCTCTATAGTGTCCTCATTGTTTAACAGTAGCGATAACAAGTGATAGACATTGAAGTCAGTGAAACGATTATTCGCAGGGCCTAAGAGCTTGGACTTGACAGGAAACTGTCGGTACTAGGTGGCAGTAACCAGAGACCCATAAGCCTGCCCTCAAGGATAAACCCGAGGGCCACAAACCCGCCGTCAAGAACAAACCCGAGGGCCTTAAACCCGCCGTCAAGAACAAACCCGAGGGGCCTTAAACCCGCCGTCAAGAACAAACCCGAGGGCCTTAAACCCGCCGTCAAGAACAAACCCGAGGGGCCACAAACCCGCCGTCAAGAATAAACGCGAGAGCCACAAACCCGCCGTCAAGAACAAACCCGAGGGGCCTTAAACCCGCCGTCAAGAACAAACCCGAGGGCCTTAAACCCGCCGTCAAGAACAAACCCGAGGGGCCACAAACCCGCCGTCAAGAATAAACGCGAGAGCCACAAACCCGCCGTCAAGAACAAACCCGAGGGGCCTTAAACCCGCCGTCAAGAACAAACCCGAGGGCCTTAAACCCGCCGTCAAGAACAAACCCGAGGGGCCATAAACCCGCCGTCAAGAATAAACCCGAGGGGCCACAAACCCGCCGTCAAGAATAAACCCGAGAGCTACAAACCCGCCGTCAAGAACAAACCCGAGAGCCACAAACCCGCCGTCAAGAATAAACCCGAGAGCCACAAACCCGCCGTCAAGCACAAACCCGCCGTCAAGAACAAACCCGAGAGCCACAAACCCGCCGTCAAGCACAAACCCGAGAGCCACAAACCCGCCGTCAAGAATAAACCCGAGAGCCACAAACCCGCCGTCAAGAATAAACCCGAGAGCCACAAACCCGCCATCAAGAATAAACCCGAGAGCCACAAACCCGCCGTCAAGAACAAACCCGAGAGCCACAAACCCGCCATCAAGAATAAACCCGAGAGCCACAAACTCGCCGTCAAGAATAAACCCGAGAGCCACAAACCCGCCATCAAGAATAAACCCGAGAGCCACAAACCCACCGTCAAGAATAAACCCGAGAGCCACAAACCCGCCATCAAGAATAAACCCGAGAGCCACAAACTCGCCGTCAAGAATAAACCCGAGAGCCACAAACCCGCCGTCAAGAATAAACCCGAGGGGCCAAAAACCCACCGTCAAGAATAAACCCGAGAGCCACAAACCCGCCATCAAGAATAAACCCGAGAGCCACAAACCCGCCATCGAGAATAAACCCGAGAGCCACAAACCCGCCGTCAAGAATAAACCCGAGAGCCACAAACCCACCGTCAAGAATAAACCCGAGAGCCACAAACTCGCCGTCAAGAATAAACCCGAGAGCCACAAACCCGCCGTCAAGAATAAACCCGAGGGGCCAAAAACCCACCGTCAAGAATAAACCCGAGAGCCACAAACCCGCCATCAAGAATAAACCCGAGAGCCACAAACCCGCCATCGAGAATAAACCCGAGAGCCACAAACCCGCCGTCAAGAATAAACCCGAGAGCCACAAACCCACCATCAAGAATAAACCCGAGAGCCACAAACCCGCCATCGAGAATAAACCCGAGAGCCACAAACCCGCCATCAAGAATAAACCCGAGGGCCTTAAACCCGCCGTCAAGAACAAACCCGAGGGGCCAAAAACCCACCGTCAAGAATCACTAAACGGACCTCCATCAACCCCCACCCTCCTATCTCCCCCAAAACAAACTCCCTTAACAAAAAACACTCAAGAAAATGCATCCTATAAAAAGCCCTCGCCTATAATACGTTTTTGAAACGGACGTCTATCCATCATTTGGCCAAGAGGTTTTTCATTTTTAAGACATCTCCATCGGAGGGTTGGAAGGCTTGAGCTGGCATGAAATATGGATTGTGGGTAATGGTCTCAGACTGTGAGTGCTCGAGGGCTTGTTGAGTCTGTGTTGAGGGCCTCTCTCTCCCTCTGACTCAGGGGTCACCTGCTGGCTCTTTATAGTATGGTGCTATATTATTGTGGTGGGGGGGGGGGCTATATTACTGTTGTTTGGGGGCTATATGACTTGTCTGGGGCTATATGACTTGTCTGGGGCTATATGACTGATGCCTGGGGCTATATTACTGTTGTTTGGGGCTATATGACTGTTGTCTGGGGCTATATTACTGTTGCCTGGGGCTATATTACTGTTGTCTGTGGCTATATTACTGTTGTCTGGGGCTATATGACTGTTGCCTGGGGCTATATTACTGTTGTCTGTGGCTATATGACTGTTGTCTGGGGCTATATTACTGTTGTCTGTGGCTATATTACTGTTGTCGGGGGCTATATTACTGTTGTCTGTGGCTATATTACTGTTGTCTGTGGCTATATGACTGTTGTCTGTGGCTATATTACTGTTGTCTGTGGCTATATTATTGTTGTCGGGGGCTATATTACTGTTGTTTGGGGCTATATTACTGTTGTCCGGTGTTATATTACTATAGTAGTTGGCTATATTACTCTGGTATAGGACTATATTACTATTGTATTGGGCTATATTACTATACTATGGGGGCTATATTACTATACTATGGGGGCTATATTACAATGGCACTGGGCTATATAAAACGATGGCATGTGGCTAAATTATTGTGGTCTAGGTTTATATTACTATACTATAGGGTACATTACAATGACATGGGGCTATATTAAGACGGTATGGGGCTATATTACTATAATATAGGGCTATATTACGACAGCATGGGGGCTATATTTGATGACATGGGGCTATATTACAATGACATGGAGCTATATTAAGACGGTATGGGGCTATATTACTACAATATAGGCCTATATTACGATAGCATGGGGGATATGTTTGATGACATGGGGGCTATAATACTATAGTATTGGGCTTGTATATTAAAGTGTGATCTAGACAGTGCATCTTTGTGTTCATATACGTGCCACTTGTGTGGAGAGACTGTACTCACCTATTTGTGCTTGCGGGAGTTGAGCTCTGGCTCTATGGACACTGTGGC